TTTCAATTTATTTACTTTGATCACTGAAATTTTAAAATCTTACACTTAAATCACTAATCCGGTATTGAGGATGTTACACGTCGAGGGGATGAGCCAAATGCCCATTGATTGAGAAATTAATGGTGGACACCTAACTTAGTTATCTAAGTTCAATATTGTCAAACTAAGTAATGGAAAGACTCATAGTGTACATTTCTATCTATATATCCCTATGACGAATAATGTACATGCACATGATGAGTCTTTTGCTCTTAATTAATTCATAACCCAATTTTTAAGTGGTCTCGGTGAGAAAGACTTGATGAATTTATTTTCTTTAGATGAATGTCTACTCTTAATAATTTCATAATCTAGTGTTGAGTGGGTGGTCCTATTGCAAAGGACTAAATGAACTTGTCGCTAGAGAAGATGAGTTTTCTTAACTCTTAATGAATTAAATCCTAAGAGTTTGGGTAGTTCTACTTGATATGACTTATTAAATTCACTAATTAAAGAGGTTGAGTATTTATTCTTAATAAATTCTTATCTAAGAGTTTGGATGGTTCATTTAAGATGAACTTGAAGAAATTCACCTTATTTATTGTGAGGTTCTGTTATCGTAAAAGCTCTTAATTATTTTATAGCCCAGATTTGAGGATTTATGTTGAGATAAACTTGATGAAATAACATACGTAAGTGAAAAGGATTAATCACCTTCTATGAAAAGCATTGTTTCGCTCTTAATATATTTGTATATATATACTTTGTTGACATATCGAGGACTTTGGTGGATGAAGGGGTTAGTTGTGTGTTCTGAGTTTACCCTAATCTTAGAAACTTCAAGATTCATTTACTTATCTAAGGGAAGAATTATTCATAATCACTATATATTAGTTCCAAATACATTCATTGGTACTTGAACAACTAATTTTACTATTGCTCTTCTCTTATTTTAACTTCAATGTTCTCTTTTTTTTACGAAAGAATTATTTCGTATTAATGGAGAATGTTGTTAATGCTCGAAATGTAACTCATTTTTAAGGCCATTCAATTCTATTATAAAATGGTTTTAAATTGTGCTTTGAAAATGATATTTTTGTATTAATGCTTTGAAATTTAGCCTATAAATAATGGGTAATTTTACTTTTTTTGAGATATATCCCTAAACAAATGTTTGCTTTAAAAACATTTTTTTTATAAATCTTTTTTACTGTTGTTTTGAGTTTTGAGAGAAGAGTAGTACCATTGAAGTAAACTCCGTTTTTTGGTTGTATGAAATTTGGAGAGTCGTGCTAACCTCAGGGGGTAATTCGTCCATTATAACGATTACACACATCGAGACCAATTCGCTTCCAAGGTAGTGGATTACCACGATATAATTATCGTTATGTTTGATCATTTTATTTAATATTTTCCAGTCAGTGTTAATGTCTCGTTTTGCAGCAGTCTATCTTCCAACACATACCTCCACTTATTCAGGATTAAGGTTTTTTTTATAAATCTGGGATAAGTATAAGGTAGTATTTGTTCAAAGATAACTCTCAACCTTTTGACATTAATTTATAAACACATTTAAAATTATTCAACTACTTAGTATGAGCTAATATATCTATATCACTACTTGAGAATCACTCTCGTTCTAACAGTCAAGACCAAGGACTTAATGTAATAGTTCTTATATGTAGGGGTGAGCAAAACTAGACTCGACTCGAAAAATCATTTTTTCAATTTTGAGTTATTCGAGTCAACTCGAATTATCAATTCAATTTTCAAGTTTGAGTCGATTTGAATTTTCAAAATTTCTAGTAATTCAAAAAACTAAAAATTTGGATGAGTATTTTGACAGATTTACGATTTGGTCCCTAATTTTCTATTCCTTTAATTAATCCTTCATTTTAAGTCATTTTTACTAAATTTGAACCACGTGTTCCTAAACCATCATAGAATACATATTACTTTCAATTACACTTTTTCATAACAAATTTTCTATTTTTTCAATCTAGTCCTTCAATTTTGCATGATTTTCGTATTTTTTCAATTCATCCTTTATTTTAAGTGCGCTTTTGACTAAATTTAAATCATATGCTCCCCTACCACTATAGAATACCTATGTAACTTCAATTCCTACTTTTTCACTAAAAATGTACTCTTTTAAAAAAAATTAATCTCTTAACTTTGTATTTTACTCAATTTAGTCTTTTGACTATAATTGTTTACAAATTATTTCTTCACATCAATTCTTTGACTCCTTTATACTTCCATCAATCTTTTGTCCTCAAAAGACATTCTTTGAAATATAATATCATAAATATGCTTTATAATTTTAGATTGTATGTGATATACTAAATAACATGTGAAAAGAATATGAAGAAATGTATATATCTTATATAATTAGAGAAAGTCAAAAATTTGGAACCAATTGTACCATAATATTATAAATAATTATAATTAAAATTTGTATAGAAACTCAAAGAACTCGACTTGATTCGAATTTCTTAAACTTGACTCAACTCAAAAAAAAATCAAGCCAACTTTGAGTTATAAAATAAGAATCGTTAACTCAAATAACTCGAAAAGTTTTGACATTATTAAATAAATAGTTAATATTTTAAAATCAAATCTGACCTCATTTATTAACAAGATTTGGGATTCAAATGTCGACAATCTCATTATTTTCTAATTTTTTTATAAATTTATACTTTTAATTTAAATAACACCATATTATTTTACAGATATTTAATTCTAATAAGCTTTTTTGTTAGATGAATTATCGAAGTTTCTGATGATGAAATAATGGAAGGCAATGTGAATACTATTATGAAATGTATACGAGGAACTAAATTTATTAAGTAAAGTAAGAAGTTCGAACTCTAATATTTAGGAATTGAGCAAATTAGATTGTGAGGGTTGCTCTCATAATGAATCTCTGTAAAATTCAATATGGATTAATTGGTCAATAGATCATATATTAGTAATTAATTCAAAAAATAATAATTTCTAGAGCATGTGGTTAAAAACTCTTAGTTGACATAATTATTGAGGTGGTATTTCTATCTTTTTCAATCTTATTGGTGATATGTCAGTATCTTCATTAAATTTTTAATGCTAGGGTACTAAAATGAAACATAAACTAAACATTAGGTATGATTTTAAAATAAAATAAATTTTATATCCCAAAACATAACAAAAATAATAGTTTATTACTAAACATGTAGTTTACCCTTTAATTTATTTGAGTATTTAATCATTTAAGAGAATTAATTATTATATCATTCTAAATTTATCTACAAGATTTTAATGAAAATATTCAAAACTTAAGAATGTGGAGGGCCTTGAAAATATCACTTTGGGTTGTTAACAAGTTAAAGAATATTATAACCCAACATTTCTGTTTCCTTTTTCTTTAAAATATAAATTCAACTAGATAGGGATGGATATGAATTGGGTTTTCTGTCACTTCGGCCTGAAATTTATACACCTCTCGAACGATATAAATCCTTCCTCTGACCCATTTTTAAGATAAAATTTGAATTTGATTCGACCTTAATTGAAAAAATATATTTATAAAAATATATTAATTTTATTCAATAAAAAATAGGTATTTAATTAAAAAAAATAATTCATTAAGGGGTATTATTGTAATTATCTCTAGATATATAAGGTGAAATTATATTTTAAAGTTAGGTTAAGTCAAATATGTTTCATCTTAAATTCAAACCAACCATGACCCGAAAATAACCGCTTAAAAACCTGATCCGATACAAATTTAATTTTTCTAAAAATAAATTTAATCTAATAAGATCATATCATATTAAAACTTGTCGAATTCGGATATCGATATTTCTAGACCATGCCATTCTCAACATTTTTGTCTGATTTAGTCCCGTCCTCAGCTTAGAATTCCAGAACTACCGATTGCCTTCCACGTGTCCCACCAGTTAAATTTACCAAAAAAGGTCCAAACAGATAGAGATACTCACCATCCCACTCTCCATTTCCAAACAAATCAAAAAGCACCTCCTTTTCCACTTTTTCTTATTCTTATACAACTAATTGCGTTAGGCATCTCCAAATTTTGAAATATTTTAAATTAGTTCTTAAATTATTAATATCCTTCCAAATACGTTATTTTATTATTTTAATAAATAATTTGATTTTTAAATTTCAACTTGGGTTCTACTTGAAATATATTTAAAATTTATAAATTTAAATTTAAATGTGTAAATACTAAATATAGTTTAGATTTATTATGTAAAAATTTATTATTATTAAAATTTAATAAGATTATTTTTATGACATCAAGTTTAAATTATCCATATAATAGTTTAAAATATTTAAATTTAATAAATTTATTTTAAATATATTTTAAAGCGTATTTAAATTATTATTTAATACTCAAATAATTTATTAAACTAATAAAACGATGTGTTTAAAATAATATTAATATTTTAAGATACTTGATACAATTAATTCTAGGGTAAATCATACGTTCGTTATCATAATTATCACTTTTATTTCATTTTGTTCATTCAATTATTTCTTTAAAATTATATATAATGTTTAGTTTTGATTTTTTTGTCACCTATCACTAAAAAATTAACAATTATACTGATGTATCATCATAAGGTAATATCACATTATTATTAAAAAATAAAAAAAATATTACGTCAAAAGTTCTATTAATTTTTTTTGTTACCCTTTCAATTCGCATAATTTCATCCTGACTAATCTAGATCTACCCATGTCGCATACTTGACTTTAGTGAATGGTTCTCTAATGAGGATTTTCTGTTAATTTTTAACAATAGATAATCAAAATAAAATTAAAATATATCTATAATTTAAAAAATAATAATTGATAACTAAAATGAAACAAAAATATAATTAAATTATTAAACGTGTAATTTACTCTTAATTATATTATTGTATTCTATTCTTTCCATTTTTTATTGATAAATATAAATTTAGAGATAAATTATAGATACAGAACTGTTCGCTTTCTCTTTCGTCTTTAGATCTCAGTCTTTTTCTTTTTTCAATCTCTAACCACCAAGTTTTCCGGCGAGAACCTCGAGAGAAAATGGCGACTCTTCATAAAGTCAAGCTTTTAGCAACGCAGTGCACCGTCGCCGGAAGCCCAGGTCGTAGTCCCACAACCAGTCCCGTTGTCCATCTCCGCCGTCACAAAACCCTTCGCATGCTCCTCAACCGCTCTTCTGCCACCGGTCGCCGTCGTTTTCACCGAGATCACGAAGACAGACACTTCGATCTTCCTCCTCAACCCCCGGCGCCGCCAACTACCTCCAACTCCGACAGCAAGAAAAAATCCAACGAGAAAAAAAGCAGACGAAAATTAAAGGAACTCTTCGTGGCGTCGCCGCCGTTTGAAGAAAGAGAGAGTAACAATAAAAGCTGTGAAGAAGAAATAGAAGATCTGTTACCGGTTACCATTAGTTCCGGTGATGAGCCTTTAAGTCGGGGCTCTGGTTCCCTGAGAACAGTAACGGCGTCGTTCCGGTACAGATTTTTAAGGACAGCTTGGCGACCGATGCTGGTTACCATTCCAGAGTAAAATTAAACTGCATATATATTTTTTATTTTTGATAATTTTGGATTAAAATTAAATAAATGTGCAAAAAATTAGCTTTTTTATAATCGAATTTCTGGTGATTTTTCCTTTTAATTTCCAATTTTGATTTAATTCTCCCTTGAACTAAATACTATATCCAGAAATTGAAATTTTATCAGTTTTGGTTTGGAGAATTCACTATGCTAATATGCGCTTGATTCGTCGATGATGCTAAAGTGAGCCTGCCAGTAGTTTATAACAACCGTAAATCACACTGAACTTATATAAATTATCAATTTTAATCTGTTTTAGTATTTAAATTTTTAATTTTTTTAAAATTATATTTAAAATTTAATTTTTATCTCGTTTTAATGCTAATTAAAAATTTAACGTTAAGTTAAAAAAATTATACTGAAATAGAATAAAATTAATAATTTAAGTATTAAATACGTTAAATTTTTAACGACATGTATTAAAATAAATTAAAAAAATAAATATTTAATATGATTTTAAAAAAATTAAAAATTTAAGTACTTAAAATAAATTAAATTGATAGTGTATGTATTAAATATATAATTTATCCAATTCAATAAAGAGTAAGCAATAACGACTCTTTTAACTTAGTTTACTCTATTTATAAATGTCAAATTTTAAAGTTTTGATCTTACTTAAAAAATTTAGTGTCTTATGTCACAATATATTATTGATAAAACACTTTTCTTTTAGATTTAGTAAAACACAATTAAATAAATAAATAAAAAGGAAACAAAAGGTTTCTTTCTTTTCAATTAAATACAAAATTATAAGCCTTTATTAAAACATTGAAATTATCTGATAATCCGATTTGTGATTAACCATTTTCATAGTTTTTATTAAATAATAAAATAAAATTTACTATGTATTTTTAAATAATAAAAAAATGTTTTGTTACGGTATGATTAATTGAATTTTTAAATTGATTAAAAATTGTATTTTTAAATTGATAAATTTCAAAATATACATAGCTTTAATTTAATATGTAATCATAAATAACTTTGATTTACTACAATCGCCTATATAATTTTAATCAATTTTCAGATACTATTAATACTATTTTCCATAAAATCATGCGAAAATTGCAGATGTAGCTTCTTATTAAACTAAAAAACTAATGAATAAGTTTAAATTATAAAATATAAATATTATTATATAATTTCAGAATTTATGTATGATATTAAAATTTGATCATAATCTATATTTTTAAAACAGATGTTATTCTTTTGACATAAAACAAATGTTATTAATAAAATTATGGAATAGGACTTTGTGGTTAATGATAATTAAGAAGTGTTAGAAATCATTGTTGCGCCGTCTTTCGGTTGGGTCCGGAATTGAGCTTCGACTTGAATGAATGGGTTAGAGTCGCCGATCACTTTAAAAATATTTAGGTGGATCGGACACCATCTTACCTGATCTGCGTTTTACCAGAAATGTGTCGGGTTCGGGAGTCGGTTACAGTCAAGGAAGGATTAGCACCCTTGAACTGCCCTTTCGGTACCAATTAATTTGTCGGTTGTCTTAATTGTGAAAAATTAATTCGATTCAAATTACTTACCTTTGATTGATTGGAGTTTTTCTAAAAAAAAGCCGAAAAGGTTAGATAATAATAATAATAATAATAATAATAATAATAAACCAATATTAAATAAATCAAAAAATAAATCAAAAGAAGAAAAAAATTAAATAAATTTAAAAAATAAAAAAATAAAAAAGAATAAGTCAAAAAAATGATAAATAAAAAAATTAAAGAAAAATAAAAATAAAAAATGATAATTTAAAAAGAAAATAGTAAAGAAACCAGAAAAAAAAAGTTAAAGTTTAAAATCAATAAAATAAAAATAACATGAAGAAAAAAATAATAATAATAATAATAATAATAATAATAATAAAATAAAGATTAGGGGATCAAATTGAAACAAATTGGAATTAATGGGTTAGATTGGTATTAAAAAATGAACTGCAAAAGAAAAAATAAAAAGTTAGGAGCCAATTCACAAAATTATAAAAATATAAACCAAGATTAAATTGATTAAATTGAAAATTTGGGGGCAAAATTACAAACAGTGACCGAATTGAAAAGCGATTCAAAATACCATGGATTGTGGAAATAATTTAAGAATTTTCTATTTGCACAATGGTCATTGGTATATAAATACCCAAAAAAAAACTCTCTTTTCCCTTCATTCTCACCATTTTCCTCAAAACACCTCTCTCCCTTAAACGAGAGATACTCTCAACATCTCTCCCTTCCCCGATAGCTTATCAAAGCCTGACCACCACTCTGGTGGCCAACCACCGCCCGCCGTCAATAAAGCCAAGCTCTCACAAAATTCTCTCCTCTACCCCCAAACACAAATTTAAAGCCAATTTCCCCTAAAAAGACCCCAAACGGCGTAGATCTACGCCTAAAGTTTGGATCTTTTTCCCTTAAAACCGACTCCCTTTCGCCTTCCGACAGCTTTCCTCTCAGTTTCAATAAGACTCTTGCTTCCCCCACGAAACAAAGTTTGGAACTTTGTTTGCTTTCACTTTCGGTTTCGAGAGTTTTCGCCTTTGGGCTTGTTTTTGTTGTTCTACTTTTTTGTGCGGTTGTGTTTGGGTTTCGATGTTGGTCCGACGACCTTGGTACTGTAATGGTTGTGTGTTTTTGTGGCTTGTCATTCTCGATCTTGCTGTTGGTTGATGTTGTTGTGTTGATGGTCCTTTCGTTGGCAGTGTTTTTTCTCTCGATGATGGTTGTTTGGTGTTGGTTTCGACTGTGTTTGGTTCTCTTGTTTACTGTCTCCTATTCGACCTCACCGGGGGCTTTTTATAGCCCCGGTGTTGGCTATATTTGGTCCCGAAATATGGGGCTCGTGGCCGTTGTGAGGCCGGTCGTCCCGGGATGGGTCAGTCCCAGGATATCGGCCAGCCGTTTCGATGTTGTCTGTTGGCGCTTGGCTGCCACGCGCGACCATTGACTCCCTCCATGCAGTGCTTTGACTGATATCATTTTAGGGTTTCCAAATCCTAAACCTTACCAGGCTGGATCAGACCCATCTCTTTTAAACCGGACTTATTGGATTGCATTTGGATCTTGACCGAAAAAGAAAATAAAAAATAAAAAAAGAAATTAATATATAATAAACAAATAAATAATAAAAAAAATAATACTATTATAAAATAAACTATATAATATATACTTCAAAAATATTTTCTAAACTATATATTATATTTAAAAAAAGTTTTCAAAACTATATATTATATAGTTTTCAAAATGATTTAAAAAAAATATTATATAAGTTTTCCAAAATGTTTTTAAAACTATATATTATATAAGTTTTCAAAAAATATTTTTAAAACTATATATTATATAAGTTTTTCAAAAAAATTTAAAAAACTATATATTATATATATTTTTAAAATGATTTCAAAACTATATATTATATAAGTTTTTCAAAATGTTTTAAAAATATATATATTATATATATTTTCAAAATGATATCAAAACTATATATTATATAAGTTTTCAAAATGTTTTTCAAAACTATATGTTATATATATTTCCAAAAACCATTTTCAAAACTATATATATTATATGTATTTCAAAAACATTTGCAAACCATATAATATATATATATATATATATATATATATATATATATATATATATAAATAAATAAAAAATCGGACGAAAATGGGTGTCTACAATCATGAAGACAAGCATAAGAAAAAGATAAATAGGAAATTAATAACTTTAATGAAAACAAGTGTTCTCTCTCTCATATCGATGGATTTGGTGAATTTTAATTAATATACTTTTTAAATTTTAATTTTTATCTAATTTTTATATAAATAATATGATTAAATTATATAGCTTTATAATAATATAATTAAATAATGATTAGTAAGCTTATAATTTAACACATTACATAAATTAATAATACAAATTACCATAAAATATTACATAAGTATCATTTATATTAAGATTAAAATTTTAAAATATAAAAAAAAATAATTAAATTTCAAAACCCACTACAAATAAATGAATTTGGCAAATTTTAACCACACCCAACCATTTTATTTTTTTTATTTTTTGCATTTATTAATCTAGAGTGATTATAAGAGTACATGATCTATAAATTCACAATTATTTGATAATATTTATATATATATAAAAAACAATCATTTGATAATAAAAGCTGAAACATCCTTACAATCTCTAGTGCTCAAATCTGAACCTCTTAAGAATAACAACCATCCATTTAATTTAAATTTTAAATTTAAATTTGTATTATAATAAATTCTATATTTTAATATCTTATTACATTTTTGTACTTGAATCCTTTTCTCATTTTGTAATTTTGTCAATTACCCTCGGTACTAGTATTTTATTAGATAAATTACATGATTGATCACTTTCGTTCAAGTTTTATATAGTTCTCCTCACTGAATTCAAAAAATATAATATTTGATCACTTTCGTTTTTATTTAATTAAGATATGATCACTAAGGGTTAATTGTCGTTAAACTTTTAACAGACTGTTGACGTGACACAATGAATATATAAAATTAAAAAAGGTAAAATTCACAAATGATCACTAATATTTGAATAAGTTTTCGTTTTTCCCACTAAAGTTTTAAAAGTAAAAAATTAGTCGAGACCATTTTGTAGTATATGTTCGAGAATGATTTAAATCGATACGAAACTCCACCGACACAAAAGGAAGCAGTCGAAGAATTGTCAACCGTCGATGTCAAAGATAATTTGTAGTGTTCGATATGTTTATAGTATTGAGACTGGAACTGAAGAGAAAGAGATGTTGTGTAAAGTGTTGTCGTTTTGTGCCGATAGGGTTCTGTATCGGTTCAAATCATTCTCGTACATATACTGCAAAATGGTCTCGACCAATTTGTTAATGTTGAATCTTTAGTGGGAAAATGAAAATTTACACAAATATTAGTGACCGTTTGTGTAGTTTACCCTCTTTAATTTTATATATTCACTGTGTCATGCAAACAATCTGTTAAAAGTCTAACGTCAATTAACCCTCAATTATTGAA